TATGTATTTGCGAGGTTATGTTAAAAAAATTAATGTAAATATGTAGAGAATTACAACATGACTTATAGAATTAATTAAAATGTTTTGATTGGTTAATTTAATTGATGTGTCCCTTCAAATTCTACGATTTTTTTAGTTAGTGTTTGCTCAATTAATATATAGAGGATAATGATTGATGGGAAAATTTAGTCGATAGTCTTGAAATCTTTCTTAAAAATGGAAAATTTTAACCAAGTGGTGGTGAGCTAGTGGTTTCCATTTGGGGAGGAATTACTCTGTGGGTAGGAATTGCTTTGTGGGTTTAGCCAGAGTTCAATTCCCCTCAAACGCGAAATTCTCTACCCTTTCCATTTGACCAGTCGAAGTGGTGTCACGCTTTAGGCCTACTAGAAAACTTGGTGATTGAGGTATTCGATGACTACACTTACCCTGGAGGGATTAGTTGGGTGGCAAAAATCCGGATCACCCGTGGTTATTAAAAAAAAAGAAGGGAAATTTAGTTGGAGGATCAAATGAGTCACGGTTATTGTCACAAAAATGACGAATGGATTCATAGTATGAGGAAACTAAAATACAATTAAAATGCAACTTATTAGGATTGTTGGACTAGTGAGCATTACATACAAGTTCATCAAATCCAACAGGAACCAAGAGTACATTGCAATGTGAAGGTCATTGATCATAATGAAGTTGATTTCATAATTTTATTGACAACTTGATAACATTTTTTTTTTTCAGTTTTATTACAAAATAGTTTGGTAAAATGCCAAACGCAAATGGAAGCGCGTTTACATTTACAATTAATAAAGACACACAAACAAACAAATGAGCGACCAACATATTTTGTTTCTATCAAATCAAATATGTTTAATAGTACAAATTGTCTCTTTCAATCAATACAAGCCACACACACAAAAAATGAAAGAAACCGATGCAAAATGAACACAGTGGTCAGAAGCTGCCTTATCAGTTATCACTGGCTCCTATGACCGAACACATAAAGAGCTTGTTTTGTATCATCATCTTATGTCAGACCAAGACATGGCCTTCCATTACAGTCACGGCTTTGCCTCTAAGGAGAACCCTCTGCTTCTCCTTGTCTAGATGAATCCTAATTGTTCCACTTCTACGCGAAGCCTAATCAAATAGATTTCCAAAAAAAGAAAAAAACTTCAAATCATTCTCTAGGAAGCACTAAAACACTACTTGGAGAAATTAAAGAGAGTAGAGATATTTACTTGGTAGGCTAAGAAATCACATTTGTCCATCTTGAGGCTCCAATAATGTGCTAATGCACAATGTGCACTTCCACAAACAGGGTCCTGAAAAAAGCCGGCACGCAAAAGACATCATATTCTTTCGTGTTTGTTCACTCCTAAGAGCAAAGACAAAAAAAAAAGATACGACTACTCTTTTAACCTCATTGACTCCAAATTTAGGGGCGAAGTATCGACTGTAGAAATCATGGGCACATCCTGCAGAACCAGAAGCTGTCACAATTATTCCGTTGCAGGGGCATTTCAATATATCATCCATTCTTGGTTGCAATTCAGCGACAGATTCCATAGATGAAAGCTCAACCTGCAAACCAAATGCATAAGAGAGTAAATAATAACAGTCATAAGAAAGATTTAGATGCAGGACAAGAAAATGTTTTTGAATAGGAAAACCAAAACTTTGAAAATGTTGGACAGTTTCTGAAAATCTTACGATGATGTTGTTGTTCGTGGTAGCTTTAACATCGACAATAGTAGCTCCGTTCAAGGCCTTTGTGATCAGTGAGAAAGATTCATCATTGAGATTTGCATCACAAGTTTGAATCACAGGGAAATCCAACTCGATCAAGAAAGCTCCTCCTTTCACTACTCCACCATCGTTGAGCTCTAAAGTATCCGAAACCCGCTTCGCTATAAGAATCCCTGATCTTGTGACAAACTCAACCTTATCTGAATCAACCAAATCATTTGAGAAGAGACAATGAGCTGATGCTAAAGTTGCATGACCACAAAGATCCACCTACATATCAATAAACGAGCTTTAAAAATCCTCTAAATTAAGCATCACAATTACTTATTCAAGATTTTGGATAATCCCATATCAAAAGGGTCTCACTAAAATTTCTCCAAGTCCAAAGAAACACTATAAAGCTTGCGAATTGAGATCGATCTCTCGCAAATCATTGAACAGTGGAAGTCAACAAAGTCAAACCTCAGCCACAGGAGTAAACCACCGGAGACTGAATCGAGATTCGAAACCGGTGATCGGAGTAAGAAAACAAGTTTCGGAGATGTTGAATTCGGCGGCTAGAGACTGAAGCCACTT